TTTTGTCATGTCAGAACTGTATATTATATCATATGGATTTTGTGGTTTGAATTATAAATCAGATGGTGTACTAAATTATCTTATCTGGCAATAACAAATAAACATGGCACTGAAAATGATAAATGACAGACACAGATAGATAGATAGATAGATAGACAGATAGACAGATAGATAGATATAGCACATGACAATCGCATGCGATTAATTGCACAGCCCTACTAAATAACAAGACCTATGATCAGTTACTGGTAAAAGTGATATGGGAACCCTGAACAGTTGGAATACATTACCAAAATGTATACATTATACATTTACAAAGTTATTTATCACTATTGGATTACTTACAAGTCTTTTAAGTGCTAGTAACATAAGAACAGATACTAGTTAGTTTTAAGGAATAAATGTTAAAACAGCTTGCCATAGTGATAGTCGCTTGCAGTGATTTTGTGGACTAGCATGGAAGCATAATGTCAAATTTTGTGGCTATGCATGTTGGGTAGCTCTCATATACATAAAATAAATGTAATTTCTCATTTCAGTAAACACTGAAATCACTTATCTCTTATCTAGTTAAGAAGCTCACCTTCACGCATTTAGTTTTACCATGTAGTGTTTCATGTGCAATGCAAAGCTGAGGTGTTACCATTGAGATGTCAGGGAGAAGTTTTGATTCAAACTTGAGTACATTGTTTTTTAGTCAAAGTTTAATTTTGGATTCAATGCATCATCAGGTCAGTTGTTTGCATTTGCAGTTTAGTGCAGTATGTGTGCACCCTACAGTATGATATGATTTTATTTATGATGGTTATTGTAAACGTTCTGAAGTGGAAGTGCATGCATTATTGTTTGTTTCTGGTGGATGTGGTAGAAAATGCATATTAGGCAAATTTAACAAATTGTTTATTGGAATGAATCAGACCTACACCATGCTGTTTGTAATAAATCAATATAATTAATCAGACAGTGTCAAAATGCAGCTGATATTGATATCAATACTAAATATGAAGTTAGGAGCTATTGTATTTCCTAACCATGACTCACAAGACACAGTAGAAGTCTATTGGTTCAGAGATATGCTGTGGTTCACTGTGCTTGCAGCTGCTGCAGTTTGACCACTGAGCTCCAGTTATTTTTTATATTCTGCACTATTGTTTTTAATCTAAACTGGTATTGGTGTAACCCGTGTGCAGGCCACAAAAGCCTCCCGAACGGTTCTTTCCGTTGAGGGGGTGATTTGTATTGCATAACTTTAGTTCTTTGCTTTTGAAAATGAGTAGGAGAAAACATAAAATACTAACTGTGGAGGTCTGTGAAAACTTTAAGAGGCGGGCTTTATAAATCTTCACCCCTAGTATTATAGAAAACGGAAGGTTACTTAATAAACTCTACAAAGTTATTGTATCTGATTTCAAATCCTGCAAATAAAAGTGTTGTATCCGCTATGCAATGTTTTCAATTAAATTGCCGTTTTAATGTATTTATTAATGTCACCCAAAGCCTGACCTTTCTTGACTGGTGTATCTCATGATATTTTTGGCAATGTGTTGCACCTCAGTGGAAATCAGTTGCAGAATAACAGGGGCAGATGTCCAGTGGTCATTTATTTAACTTGCTTGACACGCCAGAGCATATAGATTTTCTCTCCTTGCAAGACATTCCACTTAAATAGTTTCATCAGTGGAATTATTTTGTTAGCCATAGAGAAGTGCTGTGCTTTTGTGTTGGTGACTGGCCGGGGTTCATCCAGATTGCATTCCAATCTCCCTCTGAGGGCGACAATAATTAATATTCATCAAGATAATAAGGTTGTCTTCACTCATTCAGCTCAGTTGACTTCCATTTCTCTGGTTTGTTGGTTGCCATAGCGCGATACTGCAGCTACCGTTTCGGCCGCTCTCGTTGAGCTTAGAGGCTGTCTGAATATAAAGCACCGCCCATCGTCGCCCCTTTGCTAGACCCACATGTTCGCACTCTTGCTTTTGGGATAGATCCATAACAATAGTGAGTCACATCCCAAGTTAATTCGTGTTCCAGTTTGTTCAGATGAAGTCATGAGCTTGAAAATTAACCGTGTTCCTCACGCAAATAAGCAGACTGCACTGGGTAGTTTATATTATAATGGTGTTTAAATAAGAACAACATGTTTGATTCAACAGCCACAGCGAAACATTGAGAATCTGATAAATTAAGATAAAACTAGGAGGCGGCTGCATGCTAGACAGGAAGTGTAGTTGTTTCTGGTGTAAGCAGGGCCAAGGAAAGGTTTAGAGCTTGAACCATTTATTAGTTACTGGACTGAGTGAAATTCATAAAGTTTGCAATGAAAATAGCTGCAGAATTGATGTCCGACCCGTTAGACAGAGCAGAACCAGATCGAACGCCAAAGAGCTTTTAAGACATTCAAAAGATTATGTCACCAGACTCTCGTCCCAACGGATAGTCGAGTTGATTTCTCAGCTCCATCCCTGACCTCAACTACTCACAACTTTACATCACTCTTGATCTCATCCTTTTGGCTTAGGCAAGGATTCTCTGATGATCAGCAAGTTCCAGTACCTCTGCTGTGGTGTAGTTAACCCATCCTTACAGGTCTCTGATGGAGCACTAAAGCCATACGCAGTTGCAGCATCTGGTCTCCAGAGTGGTGTACAGAGTGGACGGCAGAGATTGCATGCCAGAGGGCTGTTGCCACTGCATCTGCGTTTCTCATTAGGTTTTGAAGGGAGGTGTGTCTGTACACATCTTGTAAAGCCATGTTGGTTCAGTGTGACCTCCTTCTTGTATTTACAGAAAGGTTCGTATCCCACATGAACTATCACCTTTGTGCCTTTGGGCTGTGTCTGCAAAATTTTGGGAAGTTGTACCAAAATTTGCCCCTTGTGGTTTCAATAATTATAGATTTTAAAGTATATATTTATATATTTTTTGTAAATAATAAAAATAATATTATTTATGCAAATAACAAAATTATATATAGTATATATGTATATACATATTAGTGTGTGTGTGTGTGTATATATAATTATTTAATAATAGTAAGAATTCTTTATTTTATATATATATATATATAATTTTTGATTTATCTATTGTTATTTTGTTATTGTCTTTTTTATTTTTAATCCCATTATTTTCTGACATTTTATATGTTTTTATAAATGTATTTATTTTTCTTAATCATAATATTTTAAGTTTAGGGAATGTGTAGGGGGCTGGGCTTTATGGTTAGGTTTAAGTTTCATAGGTTTCCCTTAGGAGAATCAAGTTACGCTCATTACAAATGTCATTATCATTATCTCATTTATGTATTTGTACTAGGGCCTGTACTGTACTGGTTTGGGGGTTACAAAAACGCACAACCCAGCTTCTTATATGTCATCTCTTTTGAGTTATTATGACTTCTTATGATTGTCTAATGAAATCCCAATGCATTCTTTCACCCTGAAATATATCAGGTTTTGGAAGTCAAATGGTTTGTTAACATTGTTTCTTCTTGACTCTTGAATTTTTTTGACTCCAAAATATGTTCATAAAATCTCTTGATCATGTATTTTGTAGATGTCAAAAATACAAAGATTTGGCTTTAGGTAGTACATAAACATAAAATGGATAACTATCAAAGTAGCATTTGTTATATAAGCGTAACTTGAATCTCCTGAGGGACAGAGGAAGACAAAATACTGCAGCTATGGCTTGTACGTCTCAGTCTTATATGGATTTGTTTGACTGTAGGGGCAACAACTCAAATATACAGTTCTCCATATGGCAACAGGCATACCGGACACGATACCTCTCTTTGAAAGTATCTGCAAATGGGATGGTACAGTCTGTGTTCAGTTAAAACTACACACAGTGAATTTAATAATCTCTGTACTGAACTCATCCACTCGATGTCACCAGATGTTTCCAATTTCGCACTGTAACTGAAGCTGTATCAGCTGGTGTCATGTTCAAAGGACCCAGCAGCACGTGTGGTTCTTTGTTTTGTTCAGCGCGCAGACCTCCTTCCACAAACATTTCCACAAACACACTCAGCAGGTTGGAGGGTGTGGGAAAAAGATGGTCCCCTGAAGCCAGAACATCCTAAATGCTGGCCAAACCAAGGCTGATAGGGCCTTCTTTTTTCCCATGGCACAAATGTATCTGATGTAGATTAGCAGTGCATGTACATATCTGAGGCCTGCAGATGGTTTTCTTCTTTCCCACCAGCTCCTGTGGAGCACAGCTACCTTGGCTTATGCTGGACTACTGTACTGAAAACGTAGGTTCAACTCAACTGTTGAGTCAAGTGTAAAGGGATGGTGGCAAAAAATGCTAGTATCCTAATTTGCTGGTTTATTTTAAGTTTAGATGGGGAATTGAAAAGAATTTTGATTTGTCTGGTTCCCTATTGGTTCTAGTCATGAGTATTGTAAGGAATAGATATTTGGATAAAGTTAATAAAAAAAGATAATTAATAAATTGAAAACAATTCTTGCAGGTGTTTACACTGACTGTTTTGTGGATTTTTAGTTTTAAGAAATGGAATAGATGCATATACAGTATGTGTTCATTTTCTTTTTAAATACCACAAAAAAAATTCTATGTGCATTTTTAAATACAATTTACAGTTAAACTACAAATCATATGAACAACCAGTCAGTAACTACATTGATTGAAGTCTCTCAGTTAGTTGTAAGCTGCACGTTTTTGAGTCACTAAAAAGAACTGGTTCATAAGAGTCAGTTCATGAGGAACTGGACTGTACTGGAGAGAAGAATTGACTCATTAGATTCATTTGTTTTTGAATCAGACTACACTGGTCGTGCTGTATCTTTTTGATATGCAAAAAGTCATTCATTTGGGACTCAGGGTTGGTTCTGGTGTTGCTGTTTTTTTTTTAAATGGAACTGGTTCTGAATAAGAATTGGTTCTCGAGTTCCTACTGTAGTTATAAGGCTCAGTGTGTGGTTGGTGTTTGCAGATCTTTAAGATACTCCATTATTGTAGATAAGTGCTTCAACATGAAGCCTCTCTTGCCAAGTCTCAGTGGATCTCAGAGTGAGTGATTTGCTCAAACAAGCAGAAGTTGTATTGGAATTGATCACGATTGGCCAGGTTGGTTGTTTTCTTGGATTTCTTTCGGTTATCTTGTAAAGGCACAACCCAGCTTTTTATATGTCATCTCTTTTGAGTTATTATGACTTCTTATGATTGTCTAATGAAATCCCAATGCATTCTCTTTCACCCTGAAATATATCAGGTTTTGGAAGTCAAATGGTTTGTTAACATTGTTTCTTCTTGACTCTTGAATTTTTTTGACTCCAAAATATGTTCATAAAATCTCTTGATCATGTATTTTGTAGATGTCAAAAATACAAAGATTTGGCTTTAGGTAGTACATAAACATAAAATGGATAACTATCAAAGTAGCATTTGTTATATAAGCGTAACTTGAATCTCCTGAGGGACAGAGGAAGACAAAATACTGCAGCTATGGCTTGTACGTCTCAGTCATATATGTCTCAGTGGATCTCAGAGTGAGTGATTTGCTCAAACAAGCAGAAGTTGTATTGGAATTGATCACGATTGGCCAGGTTGGTTGTTTTCTTGGATTTCTTTCGGTTATCTTGGCAAGACATTTTAGGAAAATAATCCCAGTGTGAAAGCATGTTTGCTTGAGATCAAATGATAGTCAATGTGAAGTTAATTTGGCCCAGCACTAAACATCCTTTCAAATGGAAATATTTGAGTTGCCCAATATTGAGATTGATGGTGTTACTTTATGGCTGCTTAGGGTTTCTTTTTAAGGACTTTTTGGCTTTCAGGGCATTTTCTCACTCATCATTTACACTGAAGGGGCCAGTATATTGTCTTTATCTCATCCGCCCTCTCAATCTAACCGAAATGAACTTTAGAAAAGACATTATTCTTTAAAGCCATGTTTGCAGTCATTACAGTCTTCCAGCGAGAGTGTTGTTTGAGGTGTCGTGAGCGACGTGGACGTCTTCCAGGTTGGGAAAGCGTTTTGGACATCGAGTGATAGATGATCAGCATTGGTCTGGCCAGCTGTGGTTGTTTTCATCCCCAGCGTCTTGGCCAGAGTGGTTTCAGTGTTTAACAGAGCAGCTTCTTTGGGATTGTTTAGCTCCAGATTTCTGCTCTGTCAGATCTTTGGAACCGTTGTGTGGAATTGAGGTTCTGGCTAATGGAGGAAGGCAGCAACACTTGCTCAAAAATATTAGTGGTCTACATTCCCACAAATCTGCTATCTTCTCTTCTTTGTAATGGAAGATTATAAAAAAAATACAAAACTGCCCTGAGGTGTTTGGAATCAGCAGGTGTGAACAGCTTGGAGACCATTATTAAGTGTTATTGAGGGCATGCTTTAAATTAAATAGGGCAGACCTATTTTCATTTCATCTGTGTCATACTTTTTCATAGGGCTGGACGATATGGCCAAAATTTATATCACGATATATTTCTTAATTTCGGTCGATACAGCCGACTGTGTGGAGCCCTCCTGGTCTGCTCCTTCGTTCAGACACACACACACACACACACACACTGTCACTACCACAGACTTGACAGACTACCGCAATGAGGCGCACAGCATGCAAAGATCTGACTCACACACACTGGCACTTGCACACACTTTTATATGGACACCTGCATCATCAGACTCATTCACACACATTTTAGATTAACTGTGTTAGCCAGCTGTGCACAAGATTCAACACCACCAGTCACTCTGGAGTTAATCGAGTTAAACCTGCTCACACATTGAGACATACTTACCTACTTAAAATAAATACCCTGTGGGGTAGAAAGTGAAAAGAAGTAGCATTAGAATTTTGCAGAGGGGAAAAATATAGCTGTCGTCCACCACTGGAGGGAGCCTCTCTGATTCCTACAGTTGGACAGAGCAAAAGTATTCCCTGCCATTCAGTTTTTATGTACTTTATGAAAACGTGAAATCCTGTGGTTGATTGTAAAGAATTTTATTGTGAAGTCATTTTTCTTACACAGTGATTGAGAATGACATGATTATTATTTCCCTTGGCCTGAAACTGATTTTGTGGCTTTTCGAAGTAATGCAGACGGTGACAGGCTCATCTTAGAACTGCTCATGTCTTCATTTTGTCTTCAGGCCTTGGTTAAGGCTTAGGCTTAGATTGTTAGAACATCTGTGAGTTGCAGTATGTGTGGGATTCAGCAATTAAAATATATATAAATTGCTATTTTTCCAAAAAATAAAAGTTTAAGTAAAAACATTGTTTTTTTTTTAATTTTCAATAGTAGCTTGAAATTATGCAGCTATTATAACACTATGATTGCCTGAAATTCATAAATAATTTAATTATTAACTTTTATTAATAATTCATAAAGCTTGGAAAATTACACTACATACAGTCCATAATGTTTGTGTTTAAATATAAGTGGCACCGGCAATCTCTATCTAGCTTACTTTTAAAAATGTGCTATAAAGGGGATCAGTGTTGATTTACAGTGATGTTTCAAGAGATTTAATCAAAGGCAGAGTCAAATGTGGGGTTCAGTTGTCCCTTTGCATGTGAATACAATTTTCCTGTAATGCTTTTATTCCACAAAGGGAACCAGAAAACCACACGACACAATTCATAATTCCTCGGATAATAAGCTCTCTCATAACTTTCAATCTTTCATCTCCTTTCTGCTTTGCAGATCCTTCATACTTGAGTAGCTGGGCTGGATGAGTCAAGTTCTGACTCAACCAGCATACGTAAATATTTAAGCTCCTGTCTTACAGAATGTTTATAATTCATTTGGACCTAGAAAAGAGGTCTAATCCAGAAATCATAATTTCGACAATAAGGTCGTCATAGTTTGCAGGTCCACAAGCTGCAATTTTATGGATGAGGAATCGCTCATTTAAAAAGGAGCTGGAGGAACACTCAAAGGAGACCTTTGTGGTTTTAATATATTAGAATTGGCCCACCAGTGGTTTTCTAGCTTCATTTTGGGCATTAGTGTTGGCATTAATATACAACAGGTTTAACACTCAGTTCGCTTTAAAGGGTCCTCTTGGCTCTCTTTTGCATCAATGTGGGCTGCAGTTGAATAGTTTTACTAAAAAAGGGGGGTCATGTTAGCCCTCAGTCTCTATTTTAGGCTCCTGTCCATCACTGCACTGATATTTTGCTGTAGGAGGACATTCCTTAAATTTACACCCCAAAAGAAATGAGAGTTGAAGGGAAAATTTTGTATTTCAAGGAAGTTTTCAAGCTTGGAACTCTCTAACAAACATGCCAACATTGACTAAAATAATCATCATGACAGGAATTAAAAAATATATTTTCATTAAAGGGCAAAAGCTAAACGTAAAAGATTTTTTTGGTGCCATGTCTGACTACCTTGTGGTTTCTTTTAATTTTAGTACAGTGAAGCTTCTCGTTTTAACTGTAGCAATGATGTCTTGACTTATTAGCTGACAGTAAAATGCAGGTACAACATGTGTATATGGTGTGCTGCTGTATTATTGAAGGTGAACCCATGCAACATGTGGAAAGCCACTTAAGCATTCTTGTCATAATTGTAACTGAGCCTGCTTGTGTAATCCATCTTTATGTAATGCATGCTTTTTTAGATTTTTGGATAATGTCAAAACGCTTACTGTTAGTTCACTTATGCTTGTTTCTCTAACTAATGCCCTTTTCCATTTGTCCTGTCAGGTTTTGTAAGAATAATTTTCAGTGAAGAGCAAAGGAAGGACGATTATGGATCAGTTGCATCAAAACAGGACTTGGTGGTGGATATTGGTGATCCTCTATGTGACGCTACAGCTCATGACCATCCACTCAACCATGGTGCCAGGAACATTGCAGCTCCAGCTAGATGAGGAACAGCCAGCAGGAACTGTAGTAGGTGACATTAGTGCTGGCCTCCCACCTGACATGACTGCAACCCACTATTTCATCTCAGATCATCAGGGCACAGGTGTTGGCACCGATTTGGATATCGACGAAAGTACAGGGATCATAAAAACCGCAAAGGTCCTGGACCGGGAAGTACGGTACCGCTACAGCTTCATAGCGGTCACCATAACCGGTATAACAGTAGAAGTCACCATCTTAGTAAATGACATCAATGATCACGCTCCAATGTTCCCAAGAAAAAGAGCCACGTTTAAGATTCCAGAGCAGACAACCATTGGCACCAAGTTTCCTCTTGAGCCTGCCTTGGATGCAGATGAGGACCAGCTCACTACGCAAGGTTACATCATAACGGATGGAAATGTAGGACAAGCTTTTCTTCTTGAAACCAAACGAGGATCCAACAAAGTGCTCTACTTGGATTTGGTAGTCAATGCCGTTTTGGACAGAGAGACAAGATCTTCGTACACTCTACTCTTGGAAGCATTTGATGGTGGCTCACCCAAGAGGACAGGACAAATGATCCTGGATGTGATTGTGCAGGACATCAATGACAATGCCCCAGTCTTCAACCAGAGTCGCTACAATGCAGTGATCTCTGAGAACCTTCAACCTGGGAACAATATACTGCAGGTGTTTGCTTCAGATGCTGATGAAGGTGACAATGGGTTGGTGATCTATGATATCAACAGGAGACAGAGCGATCCTGATCGCTACTTTGTCATTGACTCTCGAACTGGAGTTATCACTCTGAACAAGCCTTTGGATTACGAGATGAGAAGAGTCCATGAGCTTGTGGTACAGGCTCGGGACAATTCCAGTCAACCAGAGGTCACCAACGCTTTCGTGACCATCCAGGTGCGAGACTACAATGACAACCAGCCCACCATGACCATCATCTTCCCCAGTGAGGATGGTTCTCCACGCATCTCTGAAGGAGCACAGCCTGGCCAGTACGTGGCTAGGATTTCGGTCACAGACCCTGATTATGGAGAATATGCCAATGTGAATGTATCTTTGGAAGGGGGTGATGGAAAGTTTGCTTTGACCACCAAAGACAGCATCATTTATCTAATTTGCATAGATCAGATCCTTGATCGTGAGGAGCAAGACCATTATGAACTCAGAGTCTTGGTTACAGATTCTGGCACTCCTCCATTATGGGCAGAGTCTTCATTTACTATTCAGGTCATGGATATTAATGACAACCCTCCTTTGTTTGACCAGCAGGAGTATACCCAGGTAATTCCAGAGGTTGCCTTTCCAGGAAGTTTTGTTGTACAGGTTACAGCACGGGACAAAGACCAGGGGCCCAATGGAGATGTTCAGTACAGCATCCTACAGAATGAAGAAACTCATTCAGACTGGTTCAGTATTGACGCAGTCACTGGTATCATCACCACCTTGACCCAGCTAGATTACGAAACGAAGCCTATGCCGAGTGTGACTGTGGTTGCTGCCGACAGGGGTCGACCGCCACTATCTTCTACAGCTGTGGTCAAAGTGATCCTACAGGATATTAATGATAATGAGCCTGTGTTTGGTAGCAAGTTCTACAATGCATCCATCAAGGAGAACGCCGCAGCAGGGATCTGTTTCATGGAGGTAGGACTATCATTTCTTTGTCTGCAAAGGGTGTTGATCATGAAGTGTGTGAAAACCCCAATGTGGAATGGCTGTATATTTAAGACAGATTGTTAGAGTGCTCTTTTAAAGTGTGTAAGCTGCGTAAATGGAAACAGTCATTTTAGGAAATTGACTTGGAAACCAGCATGATGAATTGTAAGATATTGGGGAGCGAACTTAAGTAAGCTTTGTTTAGATTGGACTACTTCAGTTGGGAGTTACTCACTCTCCTCAGGCTGTGGGGTATTGTTTTTTTTTACTAGCTGTTGTTACTTACACCTCACAATGGTTTTTCAATGTAGTACAGAAGGTGGTGCAGATGAGTTCACATTTAAAGGTAAAAGGCTTTTCACTAGGGATATGAATCATAAATAATTAAGCAATTCTTGCTCCAGTTCCTATTAATTATTTTTCTAATGGTTCCACTAGTGATTATTTTAGTTATTTTTATATTAAATATTCAGTTAAATATTATAAAATATTTCTGAAAAAAATATTCAATTGTGAGAAAATGGAGTCAGTTTGACTATACTGGTTGCACTGCATGTGTTTTATTCGCTACAATGAACCAAATCATTAGAGTAATTTTTCTGTAATCGGACTGCACTAGTCATGCTGTTTCAAGCTGTAGATTCAGTAATGGTGGTGTCACCACTGAACAAGTAGTGTAAGAAACTCTACCAGATTTAGTATGGTATTCTGGCATTTGTGGACGAATGTCATTTTGTTCTGGTATTTACAAAGAACCGGTTCTTGATTCATAACCTTACTTTTCATGTGAAAATGTGTGAGGGGTCAGTTGAGGTTTGCAATTTTATTCTCATCTGGCCTAGAATTCATAGTCCCTGTTGTCTGCTGACTATAAGACACAAACTTTTTTTTTTCTCTGGGTTTTATCATTGTCTGTACAGGGACTTCAAAGTGTTTTTCTAATAAGTTTCTCCACAGGCAAATTCAAAGCTCGTAAAACATTTCCTAGTCTCTGGGTTTTATCATTGTCTGTACAGGGACTTCAAAGTGTTTTTCTAAAAAGTTTCTCCACAGGCAAATTCAAAGCTCGTAAAACATTTCCTAGTAAATCAAAACGTGTAATTTTACATGGTCACATATCAAATGAAGGCACATTAATGCTTTCTCTGTGGTGGATTTGTGCTGGCGGGGGTTGAGACACACTCCAGCGAGCTGACAGAGGGCCCAGCAGACGGGAACGTGGCCCTGGAGTTTCTCCAGAGAGAGGGAGGGTCGTGCCTGGGAGAGGTTTTGGGACTGGCGGACTACTTTCTGCTGTAGAGTGGGAATAGGAGCTGTGCAGGGTCAAGTGGGAGTTCTGGGAGTAAAATTAGAAGTTTATAGTGGTATTACTTCAGTTCGGAATTAGGAATCGGATCAGCAGCACTCAGGTCTACACATCAAATGCAAATCAAATCCGATCGAGCGGCTCCTGTCTTGCTGTCAGTTTCCATCCTCATTGAATGAGTGCTAATGGTTTACAGTTGCCAAAAGACTTCAGTTTTCAACACAAGAACAATATAAGGAGTTACTAAGTCTATCCTTACAACCATCAAAGCAAACTTGCCAAGGACGAGGTCCAAACCAACTGTCTCTCTGGCTGTGACACGAATGACTGCTGTAGATGAGAGCTGGCATGCCACTCAAGAGCAGTTGGGAGTTTGATGATGCACAGACTGCAGAAATCATTGCCAAATCGACATCCAAGCATCACAGCACGGCACTTGATGAGTTGCTTTTTTCCCTTCATCAGAGATCCCTGTGCGCAGAGTTCCCACCGCCTCCCTTTTTCTGAATCAAAGCTTCTGTCCAAATGCCATTACAATGGGGCTATTGTGATCATTCATTTAACATCTGAACCGGGCTTGATTTCATTTTTTCCAGTGTATCCCTCACAGCGGAGCATGATTAGTTTAATGTGTACTGGCATTGCCGATTTACTACATTTTAGGTTTTGTCACTTTGCTTGTCACTGCTGTTGGGCTGAGGAATAATTAACTGGAGAATTTATTTCTCTTTTGGTGGAATTTCCACCCTTTGTAGTGTGAAAACTCTAGCGACTATACCCAATTTTGTTTTAACCGCAAAGATAACTTGCAAAAGGCTTGTGGCATTGGAATCAAGGGTGTCTAAAATTATCAGACATGTTACTACATTCTTATAATGACCATAACTCTGCTTTCAATTATTATCTGCTATTATTTATAAAGCATAAAACCGAGTTAATTGTCAGTCAGTTTAGTTTTCTTTTGTTTTTTATTATATCATTGTTAGTTGTAGAGTTTCCTAGTTTCAATACGTTTAGTTTGTATTTGATTTTTAGTATTGTAGGGCTGCCGAAGATTTGCTAACTGGTATCATTCAATTCAAATTCAATTGAATTCAAATAAATTTCTCTGCTTAGTCTAGTGTTATTTGTGTGTAGTGGCATTTTCATTGTTTAATGGAGGTGAGTAAAGATTTTGTCTTATGATATGTCATGTATCCAAAACTATTTTTTTAATTGTATTTTAGTTACTTTTTGAGTATTGAAAATGTATTTTGGTTTTGTTTCCCAGTTTTTCCCAGTTATGCTAGTTTTTTGTTTTATTCATTTTTTTTAATGTAGAACATTTCTTGAGTTTTGTTTGTTTCACAAACTTTTGTCATTAGACATGCATTTTATTACTTGAGGCCTTTTATTTGGTATGTAAGTAACAATCCCAGCTGGTGTCATACCAAAGCCAAATTTTGGTATCGATCCAACCCTGTTATTGTGTAATATTAGAACCCTCTATCCAGTCTGAGAGTTTGGAGCTCCTATGGAGGACACAGATGAAAGGCTTCTCCTTGGTAGATGCGCAAGAATGGCTTGAACTCAGCTGCTGTTTTGTCTCCTCTGCTAGGACACTTCACTTATTAAGACTACTATTATTCACAACACACTCCAACTGCGGTCTTGGACATGTTCACCACCGGGGTGACGAGCGTTTTTCACTCTGTGTGAGGCAGCTGCATAATTGGTACATTTAGTCAAGTCTCCCTTTTCTTAATGATTTGAATTGAGAGAACTGTGAAAAAAGATGGAGTGTGATTGCTCCACAGGTCTCCACAGCACAATAAGGCAGGAAAGGCCTTTGTCCTATTCATATTCATTGAGGGCCCATTCACCATAATTTGACAGTATGTTCAGGCACTCTAATTAATTACTCATTTGAGTCATCCATTTCTTGTCTAATACTCTAAATGTATTTGAATGAATATGATCTGGAGTATTTATATGCTATGAATATTTTAGGACTTTCAGAAATTATGTTTCATGTAATCTATTTTTGCTGTATTACTTCAAAAATGATGTTTATAGCAAATTTACATTGATCTGACTGCTACTGTATGCTTTAATCACTGGTTCAGTTTTTCTTCTTTGAATGCTAGACTCAAAACATCAACAAGCGGAGCTCAGCAGGCCTTTGCATGGACCTGGTTCCTGGTCTGAGGAGTAGTGGATGTCTGCATGCCTCATTAAGCTGCGCACACACTACCATATGGCATTTTTCTCTTGATCAGATGTCCAGTTTTTTTGTTTCAGAATATGTCTCAGATTCTGCCTTTTTCCAAAAGCCATTCTCCGCTTTTCCAATGACTTGGTCACACTGCTTTAGTGCACACAAAAGACAATCATTCCCCCAGTCTGGTTTGATGCCAGACGACTTTGCATAGTTTTTGCTCGTTTTCAGCAGCCTTGAATAAGAGGACCATAGCAACCGCTTTTTGATCAATTTCTTTGGATTCTGTAGCAGAAAATTTGTAGAAAGTGCCTGGGGAGCTCAATATGGCCACTTTTGGTTATGAAAGTTGACTGTTTATGTAGTTGGTTTTTGTGATAAAGACAATTAGATAGAGTTGACCAATTCGAATGCTGTTTATTTACTGTACCTTTGTTTGTTTGTTTGATATTTGTTTTTGTTTTTTTCAGTTATTGGTTTGCTATCCATATTTTGGTTTACATTTCAAATTTTACACACACACACACACATACACATATATATAATATATATATTAAAAAGTAAAACATTTAAACAGATATCAAAAAAGCAAAATATAGAAAGCAATATATATACACACACACACACGTATTTGGCTGTTTTGCACTTCATTAAATTGCAGTTCTCATTACCTGGCATAATTTAAACAATTACAAGTAGCTTCCAAATATTTGAAAATTTTGTAGATGTTTTCGCATAAACAGAAAAAAAAAAACATTGCTCATCCAACGGTTCCAAATGCTCTTTATGTTGTTGAATGTTGCCTCGCTAATACTAACTTCTGAGCTCCCTGTTTAGTTATTTGCAGTTGTTTACAGGAAAACCTTGCAATCAGTGCAACCAACTAAGCAAATACAAGAAGAGGGAAAGCCAGGCAGACAGTCTCAGTGGCATACTTCTGTCCTCTCCCCTGCAGGCACTCTATCACTTTCGGGCCATGCCTCCACTGTTTTTAGTTCTCCTCCGTGCTAACTGCCGTGCCCCTGCTACCCCGGCGCTGTGGTTTAGAACAGTATTTACACAGAGCAGCCAAATTGCAGGAAACGAGATGTACTACTTAATGTGTTTGCAAATATAATACTTCCTTGAGCACTTCGTTTGAGGCCATGCGGGCGCACTGAAGCGAATATAAACATGGACGCACATCTGGACATTTTGTGGGTGTCCAGGTCAGAGTTGCTCCACTTGAGGTAACTGCCTGTGTTTTTATAGCACATAGAGCCCATCAATTCAAATCCAATGCATCTGTCCTCCAACTGTAGCAGGGGGAAAATGTGTGACTTACTAGGGTGTGAAGGAAAGTACTCGCAGTGCATTGCTTAGCAGTGACAAATTTAAGATGTGTGTGTGTGGTAAGACAACAGCAAGAAAGAGGGAGAAGAAAGACTTATGGACTATTTGGTGGTTTTGGTATTAGATATTTTTTTAATGGTTATTCAGAACAAG